ACTCCAAAGAAAACATTGGGCTGAGACCAGCTCCCAGGGTATTTAGTGATTTGAGCCGCAAATGTTTGAACATGCCGTATAAAGTGAAAAAGTAAATGCCTAACTCATCCCACAGTATATTTTCGAACAATTCAATCGCATGCAAGATTTCACATCGATGAGCGTAATGCAAATATGCAGTCTACAGGAAGGGTATTCCTCCTGTAAATAAAGCACGAATAAAAATGTATGAAATCATATATATTCTATTTACTATGTATGATACAGGAGGGACACACGGCTTGGGGAAATGCTTAAATGTTTGTGTTCCAGTTGTGCTCTCACATTTCCACAGCTCAGTATTCTCTATGACCCTTACACGGGACTTGCGAGTGGCATTTGTTAGTGAGGTGTCATGGAGGTCATGGTGCAGCACCACATCTGACGGGCAGTATAGGCTGCATCCACCCTCACTGCTGATGTCCCCTTCAGAGACACCTAGCTGAATCTGGGTCCATCTGTCTTGCCCAACAGACTGCGCTTAACTCTTTGGTGGTACAAGAGCACATGGCATGAAAGGATAAAGTAGCACACAAATGATCAAACGTTATTCCAATCGCTATCAACCAAGTTTTTTTTTACTTTCAATTATGATATTCTGATTGCGCTAATTGCTTAATGGCATGAGACAGGGACATTCGAATTTGGTCACCGTGAGCAGGGAATCATGTGATATCAGAAAATGGACCCTGAAAAATGACATCACACAACTACCCCTGAAGTCCCTTCAACGAGCCTCTTTTCCACAATGGTGGCATAATCATCATAATCAGGTATAGCCAAACCACTTCTGGATAAAGGCTTCCCCAAACCCATGCCATTTTTCACAAACATTCAAAGTAATAATCGACAACTGCTGATTTTATTAGTCTGGTCGATGTGTGCAGATGCGTTCCACTTTGCGGCATACCACTTTATACGCCGTGCAAATAATGTTCAATGACATAGTAAACCAAAAATCCTCGATTAATTACGTAACAAAACTAACTTGAGACCATCAACATGCTACACTTGAGAACTTGGCTTAATCACCATTGGAACCTCCTTTGCCAGTGGCAAAATATGATAATTGTTTTTTTTACCCTTTTATCTGGCAACAAAACTGACACCTTTTTTTTACAAGGGGTCATGTTTGCATTGACCACAATACCTGCGGTCGGAATGCAAACAAAAAACATAACTCTGATAATGTATGCACTGTCCTTGAAATTGATTGGTCCACACCCGAGACAGCTTTCCTTAGAGCCTAGTCTCACATGGTGTTGGACCAGATGACGCCAAAAGGCGCACAACTCAAAGACAATGCACCATCAGAGTATGAGAGCTCGGGGTAAGCATTTACTGTACACCATTGGATTATTAACAACTTGCCTTAATCTCTGGCAGTTGCCCAGACATTGGCTCTGCAGTGCCGGTTCAGGACTCTCCCAAGGAATTAGCCTCCTGAGCCACTCATGTCACCACAGACAAGGTCTCATCCAAGAACCCTTAACACAGAGAAGCAAAGCCACGTATGGGTCAATGTCATTGCTAAAATGTTATCCCCAAACGAAAAGGGTCCCTCGGGCAAAGCAAAGGCTTTCTAAGAAGGTACTAGGCATCGGCCCGCCATGTCGGTGATTCCATCTGTGGCCTCACAGCCTCAATCTAAGATGCATGTGACTGCAGGAAAGCCTGGCAGCATCGGCAACTCGTGAATAAATGATTAGTTTGGAATGCATAGAAGTTACTATTTATCCAGTGTCACATCCTCGCGCCTGTGTCTTTCATGTTGGCTTTGTGTTGTTGGTCAATAATCGCTTCAAAAGCCCTTTGTGTGCCAAGCCTCTCTGTCGGCAATGACAACGACCGCCTTTACAAGCTCATACTTTCACCACCGTATTTACATTGCACACAAATCATATAGGGGCGTTTTTGGAAAGATAAAAAAAATGTTTTTTCAGATAATTCCAAAGTATACTTCAGCTTCACATTGGCTGCATTATTATAATAGCACAGTTCAGCATCTAGTAGGTATTTGGTGCTATGAGAAGCTGTATATGAAAACATGTTACCGTGGTTTCATTTTTGCAAGTAATTTTCTGACAATCTATTTTATTGTCTATGAAAACTATTTCAGCGTAATTAAAGGGCTTTAAATGTGGCTACAAGTATGTGTTGTACTTCCCCACTATCAAATCAATTCGTGCAGGCTACACCTTGCTAAGAGAGCTTTAAAAGGGCATTATTTTATTTATTTCATTTTTAAAAATACCTTTACCAAATTCAAATTGAAAAAGTATACATTTGGTGTGCGCTTTGACACCTTGAAAAGCCATTTGTTGATTTTATGTCAATAAATGCTTTCGTTTGGCTCTGGGGGAGCCAGTGTTTTTATGTGTGCTATAGTGGTTTCTAACTGCTGTATTGTTCCACTTGGCAAGATGCCGACGGCTCATAGTCATAGGCCACCTTGGCAGGTGATGACAGTTTAAGAAACGGCCAAAAACAAAACATCAATCGCCGTTTATCTGGCGCTGAAAAAAAACACTCCTTGTGCCCGTATTTTAAAAGGACTGCAGGCTTCAGGTCACACTCTAAATACTTTGACACTCAAACACTCGATTTGACACTTAAACACTGACATGCTAGGCTGAATGTGTAGTACAAATTTGTTGCGCTTTTTGGGTTGTATACTTTATTCCTCACTCATTGCATTGACATTTGTGAGTGTGAGCTAAAAGCAACCATCGAAATATATCACTGTAAATCTTTCTCCTGCTGCACGTTTATGTTGACATGAATACGAGGCACTATTTGTTTATTTTAGAGCGAGCTGTAACAAATAAAACGCAGAGAAGAAATCAAGTAATCATGAACAAGGTTTATAGGATTGAAAAGCAATCAAGCTTTTATTAATTCAATTGTGTGCACCACGTGAGGCATTGCCACAACCAGGATGCCTACTCTGTGACATGATGGTCGAGTGCCCAGTCACATCGACTGGACAGAAGCCATGCCTTCGCGCGTGGGACTGCGATTATTTGCAATTGCAATACTGTTTTCCCAACTGTTGGGCAACATTTGAGTGGGGGGGGGGGGGGGGGGGGGTTTCAACGATGAGTTCGGGGGGTGGGTTGAAGGGGAGAGGATGAATCTGTCAGTCTGGGCGGAGGGCACTCTCCCGATAAGGGAATTGAGCTGCACTGACCGGCCGACGGGTCAACATGTCAGCGATGAAAGTGCTGTTAGTGGAGTGTCTGGGAAAGAAGTGGCACTTTAAGCTGAGACCGACAGGTACTAAATATCAAAGTGCATTTTTTCTCGATGAAGCGAACCTGTAGATACACTGGGAGTACAACACGTAGGAATTTAAAAAGGGCAAAACTAATAATATTTATAGTAATTTGGCCACGTTCACAGATTGCTGCTATTTTAATGGCATTGTTGCTCGGGTAATGAGAAGGAAATTATAGCCATGAAGTATCTACACCTCACGTGATTTGAGTTTTTACTCTTTTGTCGAAAACTTGGCCATTGTTATAAAACAACACAACCTGCATTTATAATGCATCTTAATGCGACCACACCTCAAAATGATGGACAAGAAGACAGGCAAGTGCATTACATTATTGGGAATGTTTATGCTCCCTCTGGAAGTTGCAGAGCTTATAACATCAGCAACTTTATTCCTGTGAAAAATAACTTGATGAGAAGTCTCCATGGCAACAGCCGAGAAGGGCCTCCCCAATGGCGGGTTGTAAGTTACCCTCATGAATTAAATTAAACTTGAGTTGGTGCAACTGCTGGTCTCATTAGGGATGCACTTGCTTTGTAAAGCATTTATACCAGACAAACACACGTTTTACGGAAAACGTAAAAGATATTGAGACAATTGAATTAAAAGCAAAGCCTTTAATTAATATATTGATTTTTAGGTTTTTGCAGTCAATATTAAAATCCTCACTTGATAATTGGGTTAGGCCACGCAATTATTTTGCCAAATTTTTTTCGTAAGACCATCCAAGTTCCGACTCATCTAAATAAGTTAAATTGTAATGTGTACAAGGGTTTAACATGCCAATTAATAGTTTCAGCTCACTAATACGTTGCAGAGCAATTCCTCCAAACAAATTCAGCAATTAGATATACCGGTATCCCTCGATTTATGAACGTTCGTTTTACGCCATTTCGCGTAAACGCAATTGGCAAATTATGGACAGATTTCGATAAACGAAATGTCATTTTCCGCGTGAACGAAATTTCACATGGCACACACCATGAGGACAAACAAGAACGACCCAGGAGGCTGCATTGTTTACCCGCGACAGCATCACGGTATCCCCGCATTGCAACAGCAATGCCTCCACATCACCTTTCCAGTCATTCCAACATGTAGATCTGTTGGTGACTTCCCTGAAAAGGTGAATTATTTTAGTTTTCGATTAATTATAATTCAATCCATTATATATATATGGTCTTCATTATTATTTTTGTATTGTGAACACATATTGGTGGATAGTTTTATGTTAGGAGTAGAGTTGGAATAACATCGATAATTTTTTGTATTCTGAAATTACGTTTAACGCGTGTTTTTTTAAAAGAAATGTATCCCTTTCGTAAATTGTGGGATACCAGCACGACGTTTTAGCATGAAACTACATAAAGCAAGGGGAAAAACCCTATTATTACATGAAGCATCTTCTGACCTCCAATATTTTACTCTCACTTCCTGGATTTATTAAATAAATTACGAATTGCGTTGCTTTTTGGATGTATTGCTGCTGTTATAATAACAATACAACACAATAATTGTCTACGGAGCAATTATTTTAAACAGAAAGAGGAACACATGGATCACAGAGCAAATGGCCAATGATGAAAATGACACGGTAATATTATCGCAATAAAAGAGGGGATTTGTTGGCTACTGCTGCGAATGTTAATGCTTGTGCTATTGTGGCTGGCACTGCTGTTGGCAGGAGCGGGAGGCTGGTCACCAGGCCGGGTAGACCGGGGGCCGTGGCTGCAGCTCGAGCTGCCAGGCCGGGTGGAGGTCACCGCGCTCGCCACCCAAGGTCGCTACGGCAGTTCGGACTGGGTGCCTCGCTACCTGCTGCTCTACGGCGACTCTGCCGGCAACTGGAGGCAGTACCAGGAGGACGGGAATGCGTGGGTAAGAGGCTACTCTGCTGTGCATTACTTTCAATATGCAGGTGGCGCTTATTTTTTTTGTTTCTCTCCTTGTATGTACATTCTCAATTTTTATTTTTTTCAATCATCCATGTTTTCGGATGATATGTGCTTGAAGCATGTTTAGTTGAATGCCTGCACATCCACACAGCCATTTTGTCAAGCCACTGCCGAGCGAGGGCCTCCCAACGCTGTGCAGGTCCTCACCACACTGCGCAGTGCTGATTAATGAAAGGTGCGGTCGCATATATTGTTGGACCATAGTTCAAGACAACAGTGGATTTTGCTGCCACTGCCCTCTGCTACCCACCATGTAGTCCTGCAGCCGCCTATAGCAATCTGTTTGTGCGTGGTTGTCATCCTTCTTGGCACTCTGCAGGCTCAAATCTGCTTAGCTTCTGACATGTAATAAGATGCATTCCTAGTTATTTGGTCATAGGTGTTTATTTTTTATATATATACAGTACTGCATCTACTGTGATTGTGTAACATTCTGGGCATTGTTTTTTTTTTCGGGCCTAGCTTACAGTTGAATTTACGTTTTAAATGTGAAAGAATATTCCATCATAACGTGCTTCAGATCGACTGCCCTCATCCACATGGGGTTTGAAAGATTCTTGACAGCATGAAACCAAATACAGATGTAGGTCTTTTAGCAGCTCTTAACCTTTAACACAGCTAATTGACACAGATGACCAAAAAATGATGGCCATAAATATTAAACTGTACTTTCGCAAGAGGACGGGACGTCTGCTTCATTGTGACCTGGAGAGAAACTTCCGATGTGCAAATGGGTTTTTGCTGGCAAAGGGACCGTGCACCCCAATGTAGGCCACACTGCCAACCGAGAAGCCAGCTGTCGTGCCACTTGTTACCAAATTACAAAGACAATGTTAATGGCCATTGTGCAAATGGAGTAACAGGAGTGACTGCAAATATTATCACTCGCGCCTCATTTGCTTCTCCGACATGTTTCCCATTGCTCAGCAGAAATTTTCAGTGGCACTTTCAATTACTACAAACTCTGAACGCGCGTATACAGTGCACGTGCTATACAATAATCATCAACCATCATTATTACTGAAGTAATTGCCATATTCTATAGTCTTTACAATGCAACAATCCATCTCGCACCTATATACGAGCGGTAGTGTAGCGGTTAGCACGCTGCACTACGAACCCGGCGACATGAGTTTGATTCCCACTCACGGCCAACACCAGTGACAATTAATTATTTAATACAGTCCTGGGCCTCCCCATATGCAACTCAGCCTCAAATAATTACCTGGTGCGATGCCACTTGGGAGACAAAGGCTGTCCGGGCGTGGTGTTGGCCTCCCACCTGCTTGTGTGCCTTGCCGGCCTTTGTAGGTGCTTAGGAATAGCACGTGCTCTATCAGTCTATTATAGGCTATAAGGGGGGGATCTTTGTTCTATAGAAAAAGATAATGAATTATTAACACTAATATTATTTACACTAATATGCAGTGCTGTAACATGTGGGCAGCTTGCACTTTACAATAAGTGCTATGGGTGGAATTATTCAACCCCTGGCAATTCAATGAATTCTTGCGATTCAGGGTCAGAGTTCCAATTCAAGAAATCAATATTTGTGTTTTATCATTGTGCTGACTGGTAGTGCTTCTGGTCTCTGCAACCATGATGCGGACCCATTACATACAACGTACACAAATCTTAAAGCATTGGTCCTTACATATGTTATTTGATGCATGTATCATTGTGAGCTTAAGAATAAATATCAATAGATTAATTGATGCATTGTTCCACACAAATATATGTAACACATGAAATAAACACTCAAGAGAAAATATTACGTGTTTATACAATATTCCCTCGTTATTCACGAACTTACTATCCGCTATTTTTGGCTGTCCACAAATCGCATTTGGAATTCTACACGACTGCATGAAAGAGAGAGAGAAAGAAAGTGATGAGATAATGTGATGAGAGAGAATGTGATGCCAGAAAGTGATAAGAAAATGTGATGAGATAAAGTGATGAGAGAGAAAGTGATGAGATTGATTATTTACGTATTTCTTTAAGGTAATTAATTAAAAAGATACATTTTCGTAGGCCAATATCGTTATCCGCAAAATGTGCTATTCACTAGCATCTCCAGAACGTACCCCTTGCCAATAATGAGGGGATACTGTTCAATACATTTCAGTCTTTGCTGTATACCACTGTAAGTATTTCCATATGTTGAAGAATTATTTAAGTGTATCTACTTCTATATTGACATGTTTCCAGCAAAGGCTAGTTCTAAAACAGAGCTTGCATCGCTGGCGTTTGCAGACTCTCAAGTAGGTCACTCAGGAAGCGGTGAACTGCGTCTAATTACGCTTGCTAAATTAAGCGATACGGAACTGTCTAAAATAACATTACTCGGTGATCTGCTGGTGGTTAGGATTCATCTCGACGGTGGAATGCATGGTGCTAATGGAAAAGACTAAAAACAAACTTGTGTTTTGAGCCATAAATTAAAGTATTATTTTTTGGTATTGTCTTTTTTGTGTTTAATTTTGTGTCATTTTCAATTTGTGAATAGCAGATGTTTTTTATTTTGTGTTTTAGTTGTGCTTTTAAAAACATGCATCTATAAATGTTATGCAGTAATTGGCAATGATGCAAAATTATATGAATTTCAGTTATGTGTGTGCATTTGGGCATTCTAATAATATACATTTACATTCTTCCTGTTGTTTTATGGTGTTGGTTTACAAAAACCCAAACCATTACATATTTATTCAATTACAAAATATTTATTTTAAAATTTATTATCATGCCATCCGCCATGTTCATCTGAATTATAATTAAATAGCAGCTCAAAGCCCCTTTGCAGTCTCACTGTGGAATCTGCTCTAAAATAAAATGGATCAATAAAGCTGCGTGCTTTTCAGACACCAGATTATATGGAATCAAGGATAATGTACACCAGTCCATAATCACTCTCCAATCTAATGCACAATTCCGGGCTGTAATACGTTCATTTAATGGCGGACTTCAAGTCAAGGCACCAAATCTATTAGATTATTTTTCTTTTCCATTGTTTATTATTATTAGTATGTGGACAGTTGGGGGCTTAAAAAAATGAACCCATAATCCAGTCTGCTGGGATTCAGCCTTTGGATCAGAAAATGCCGTGCATTGCACATTTTTATCGGCTAAATTCAGCTGCCTTAATTAACCAAAGGGCAAATTAAGAGGGGCTTTATCGGATTATAAATATGATCCTCCATTGCTGTTAAGGTTATAGAATGCGCTCATTGCTGGGCACATTCTATACAATTGACAAATAATTGAGGACTATAAAAAACATTTAAATTTTATTAATATTTTTGCTAAACATATGAGTATCCTGATTATAAAATAATTCTTTCATATAAAAACTGCAAGTGAAAAGTGTCCAATATGTTATGCTGATGTCTCTTTACTGCAGCAAACTTGAACTGTCAATAAAGATAAAAAAATATAAATTTACCCAAACAATTTAAGCTCCTTAAAACATTGAAAAGACCACTTGGAATAACATTTTTATTTTACGGTTGTCCACCGAACTTATAACTTCTGCATTGTATTTGAATGTGCATTAACTAAACTGGCTTTTGCCTGCAAACCGTCCCACAGCACTCATTATTAGTGGAGGTGCTCGCCTAAGTTAGGAGAATTACAAATGAGAAATAAAATATAACTTGAATATCCAAAATATGAATTTCTAAAGCAGAAACTGTGCTAATGTTTGGGCCATTGTGATACTGCTTCGTATGTTGGCAGTACATTTGCTATTCTTGGTTCTTTCGGTAAAGTCACGCAGAAGGGAAACAATAAAATAATAAACATATAAAACAATAACACCTGATGATGATTGCTTGTGTTGCAGTCGAAACATCGTGAGAATTTTATTGTTTTAAATATTTTAAAATTATTTTAATGTTTCCTTTCTACGTAACTTTACCGAAAGAACCAAGAATTTAGTACATTTGCTGTTAAACGAGCAGAACTTTCAGCAAACAGTTATCCACCAATAAAATATTTACTGGCAGTAAAGAAACTATGCCATGACAATGAGGTCTGGTGGTTAGCGATAAATAAAGTACTGACAAGGTGTTAATAATGGCAAATATCCATCTAACGTGTGTACTGTTTACTCTTGCATTGAATTTTGTTGTGTCGTTTTTAATTTGCTTTAACGATTGAAATGGAACCACTCGACCAACTCTGACCCAAGCGTCCATTGTGCGTGGGAGGAATGGTTTACTTTTAAAATAAGTTTCAGGTAATTATATTTTTTGCTGTCCAGAATCTTGAAAAAAAAAGTGAAAATTAATGCTCTAAAAAAGGTAAATCCATATAATTTGCAGATACTTTCAAAGCCATTTTGAACCACGGACAATGTGTCCATAGCCAGCGTGTGTCTAAAATGGATGCGATTGATGCATATTGAGTAAATCCCCAAAGTCAATTGTGACATAAAATGCCATAAGGCATTACTTTTATTGTGCGAAATTATTTCTCCGGCAAGCTACAATCCCACATGACCTTTGTTTTGCTTTGGCCGCATGATGCCAAAACAAAACTGAGAGCAAAAAGGTCCCTTTGGTAAACAAAATAAAGTGCATTAATCATTATCGTCCAGATGCAGCCCACTGAGCGTATTGATCGGCATCATTAACAAAACCATTGTGGGAAATAAATCAGGAGTTTGGTAATTCAGCACAACCGCATTGCGTGCTTGCTAATCGTAATCCGAATGCGCGGCCATGTCGCCCGCCCTATTTTCGCATGCATCGTCCATATATTGAGTAGCTCCGTTGCTAATTAATGATATATCATGTTGCTTGTTACGCAGTGTGATTCCGTGAATTGATCATGTTTGCGTTTTTCTACTTTTCACTGCGTGTGAGAAGTGACTGAATGAAGCGCTGCTCCAAGGGAACCTGATGCATGCGCTTCTGCACTTAT